TGTGTGTGAGAGAGAGAGAGAGTGTATGTGTGTGTGTGTGTGTGAGAGAGAGTGTGTGTGTGTGTGTGTGAGAGAGTGTGTGTGTGTGTGAGAGTGTGTGTGTGTGAGAGTGTGTGTGTGTGAGAGAGAGAGTGTGTGTGTGTGTGCACGTGTATGTGAGAGTGTGTGTGAGAGAGAGTGCGTGTGTGTGTGTGTGTGTGCGCGTGTATGTGAGAGTGTGTGTGAGTGTGTGTGTGTGTGTGTGTGTGAGAGAGTGTGTTTGTTTGTGTGTGTGTGTGTGTGTGCGTGTGTGAGAGAAGAGAGAGTGTGTATGTGTGTGTGTGTGTGTGTGTGTGTGCGCGTGTATGTGAGAGTGTGTGTGAGTGTGTGTGTGTGTGAGTGTGTGTGTGTGTGTGTGTGTGCGCGCGTGTATGTGAGAGTGTGTGTGAGTGTGTGTGTGTGTGTGAAGAGTGTGTGTGTGAGAGAGTGTGTTTGTTTGTGTGTGTGTGTGTGCGTGTGTGAGAGAAGAGAAAGTGTGTGTGTGTGTCCATTCAGCTGGATTGTATGATGAACCACAGTTCAAGAGTCCATGTCATGTCATCATGTCCATCCTTTCGTCAGCCCTTTCTGTCCATCTGCTATGAAACATTTACCCAAAGTTTTCGCTTTGTTGGGCTGCACATATTGAGTTTTCATCTTAAATTGGAACATTCTAGAAATAGAAAGCCTTAAAGATGGCACACTAGCACGAGACCTCAGTACTGGAGAGTGTGTGCGTCCACTGGAAGCATGTGTGGAAGATGTGACTAATAAAGCATCAGCTAAAGACCAGCATGACAAACATCTGCTCTTACCTTTAACCTAATTAGAGTCAGTCAGGCTCCAGAAGTGACAAATACAAGCAGAGGAGACCGGGGCTAGTTGTCACACTTTACTCCAGCGAATAATTAATTTCTGAAAAGTCAGACGTCCCTCAATAGTAGGGAATGTTGTCACAGTGAGAACTTTAAACTGGATATTACAGGCTATCAGCAAAATGTATAGTGTAAAACAATTATGAAAATCATCAAAAATCTTCCTTAAGTGCCCCCATTCAAAAGCTCTCAGCATGATAAAAACTGATGTTGTGGTTATTACTACTAAACCATCCTTGAAGATGCAATCTGTTCAAATTCAGCTCTGAATTAAAACGCCTGCCATTTGGCTCAAATGGTTTCCATTTAAAAGCATAATATGATCTATAAAACATTTGTGAAGCTCTAAAATGAATTCACAGTCGCTCTGAGTCACACTGAGTCTGATTTTAATACCCAAATGAATGCGACAGCAATGCAAAAATCACCCCCTAATGTTCCATCTACATGATCGGGTGTGTGAGGAGGACATCTGCTGTTAGATGTTCAGGTGTGTTTAACATGCTTTCCCACATCCAATGATCCATAAAACATGTCTTTCATCAGTTCACAGAGAGTTAATGCTGCCCAAACTTTCCATTCATCACCTGTGGGTTTGAAGTAATTGATCTGTGTGTGTTTTATCAACATGATCACTTCAACCACCACCTGATACAGCACTGACATGGTCTGATTCAATTACAGGAGAGTTCAATAAGAGACCTGTTCAATCTGTGTAGTGCTGTTAATCTTAAACTAGGGTCGCAGTCACACTCTGAGTGAAATTACTGCAGTGGTAGCAATATGACGCCATCCTCTTTTTTTTCAAATCCAAAATGCATATTAAATTTACTCCACTTTACTGCAACACTTCAAACCTGCAGATGTACATATTATTTTAATTCAGAAGTTACGACACATCAATCTTCGTGAAATGAATTCGCAGGTCAGAGTTCAACAAATCGTAACTTTGAAGCGCAACAAAATGTGCAAAGTTTGCGTTTAAAAAACGTTATTATCATGAAAACATCTGAACTGAACTTTACACAACGCTGAATCTATGACACGCTGCCGATGAGCACAGAAAATATCTTTGACTCGTTTTTTTTAAACAAATCAAATCATTGATCATTAAAATGAAATGTTAAAATACAAACCACAAAGCATGGTTTCCATGAGACTACCACGATACAATCGCTTCTCAACAGTGTCTGTCCGAAGTCATATTCCAATCTTCCATGTAAAATGTGGTATATGTAAAATATACTAAGAAATAATGGTAGTCGACAGCATGCTCTAATGCAGTTGTGTTGTGGTCAAATTTGGTTGGTCTCTACAGATCTGGAACTATGACACAGGATCCTCGTGGACTAGAGCTGGAAACCGATGATTTAATTGATTGACTCTGCTGGGAAATATGCTGTCATGCTATTATACAGACACACTGCTGTTGGTTCAGCTGCCTAAACAGACGTATCATCAGCAGAAAGCATCCCGTAACACACCCTCACCGGCCAATTTTAATTACTACACACAACAAACCCGTTTACACAAGGCCAGTGATGGACATTTGACTCCCAAATATTTGCTTTACAAACACTGAGCCGGCTGGATGCGCTGCTGTTGATTAGTTTAGAGTTCTTGGCCCATCATTGAATGACTTCACGTGCCAATCACTGTCAAACAAGCCACCTCACCATTACTAAGCAAAACCTCTGTGCTGGGAATCTGACAGCCCCACCTGGGGCCAGGTGCACTATTTTAAGCCTGGGTTTTAAGAACTGGTTTCACCAATTAGCAGTAGACAAGGGGTAATTGGTCATACTTCTGAGATTCAAATTAGACCAATAATCTTGAAGAGAAAAAAAATTAGATAGATTACTAACTTTTTAAGACTAGTCTAAGCAGTTTATGCAACCGGCCCCTGGACTCGTCCATCACTTGGGTCTGTTGATCCAGCTGTGATTCCCCGGGGTGTCTAAAGGCCACTTCTGTCTTCTTCGGTTTGTCCGTGTGGTGTGAATTGGCCTTCAAGTGATGTGCCAGAGATGTAATTATGTAAATTCTCTTGAATAAACACGTTTCTAAAGGAAACGTTGTGGTGCAAAACTCACGGACACAATAGAATGCAACAGTTGGGTTAATCAGGGGTACAGTATATGCTTATTTTCAAAAGAATCATGTTTAACTGAATTCCTGGTGAAACACTACATTACCCATGATGCTGTACAGAAAATTCCACCAACCAGAGAGTCGCGGTGAGCAAATCGCACCAAAAAATGCTATGCTGTCAAAATACTTAAATATTTGTATATATGTGACCCTGCAGCACAAAAGCAGTGTTAAGTCGCTGGGGGATATTTGTAGCAATAGCCAACAATACATTGTATGGGTCACAATTATACATTTCTCTTTTATGCCGAAAATCATTAGGATATTAAGTAAAGATATTTTGTAAATGTCCTACTGTAAATATATCAAAACTTAATTTTTGATTAGTAATATGCATTGCTAAGAAC